GGGCTGCCTTTCCATTTCCTACCTGTCCTCTGCAAAAGTGAGGAAAAGCCCCAGTTGGCAAAGAAGCAGAGAACAGGAGCATGTTCCCATGCCAGGAACAAGGAATATCCATGCTGACCACCCAAAGGCCTAGAGACTCCCCAAAGCAACCCCCCACCATCGCCCAGAGCCCAGGAGTCCCCACAAGACCATAGCCATATGTCCCTGGGGCTCAACCAGCAAGGAAGGAAGCCCGAAGGCCCCTCTCTTGCCAGCCCTGGCACTTGTCTGAGCTATAAGAGGCAGCCCAGTCCCTTCTGGGGAGCTCCTGGGTTTCCTAAAACACATAGCATCCTAACTCAGTTCTCTTCCTCCCTCCATGCATTTGCTCGCCTGGCCAGGTGTACTGTCGGCTCAGGACAGGACAAGGGGATCCTTCCATTGTCTTCTCTCACTGGCTGGAGGCTGCTAAAGTTAACTGAGAGAAGGTAGTGACCCTTTTCCTCTTCCTTTCCACCTCAATTAGTGCTTCTTGTATCACTGAACCTTCCCAAATCATTCACAGAGAAGTCCTAAGCTTGTGGAGAAGACCAGAAACAGACTTCTGAGGCTGCCTTCAAAGCCGCATCTTGCCCACCCCACCTACTTCCACATATGAGCCCCCTCTAGAAGCATCTACCTTCTATCATGAGAACCCACTACACTCACCAGACCTGGCAATTCCATCCACTGCCTCAACCTCTCTCCTCTCTTCCTAAGCTGACACCTCCACCTTCCCATAGGGCCAGAGTTCTCTCCACCAGAGAGCCTTCCGGGGGTGCCAATGCCTACAGAAGCTGCAGCTTCTCCAGGTTCCCAGGGCACACATCACCAGCACCTTCCACTCTATGCCTTGGTGGCCTCACGCCCTAGTGTGGTGGCTCTTGTCTGAGTCAACCTCTTTGCCTAAATCCATGAGCTCTCTGCAGAGGGCAAGTGACTCTCCTGGTCTCCAGCCTCCCCCCACTGACCTCTGCAGGTCTGGGCTGAGCAGTCACTCCACAGAGACACTTAGTGGTCTGGTCTCTGGAGAGACTTGAGCAGACCACAGCTCTCTTTTTAGCTTGTTCTCAACATAGCCTTGGAGAACCAGCTGCTTCTTGCCCTCCTGGGCCTTAGGCCAGGCCATCACCCAGCTCTCTGGCCATCTACCACCTTCTGCCTCTTGCCTTCACAAGCCCTGCTCTCCCCCAACAAGGCTGCTGCCCAACCCCCACCCTCCCATCACAGATTCTCCCACACAATTTGGATTGTTTTCTATTTTCTTGCATGTGGAACTCCTCAGGCCTGGAAGACATTTAACCATCTGTTGCCATTTGGTGTTCTGGGGCTTTTCACTTGGTACAACTTTGGTGTCTCTAACTAGACAGTGCGTTCTTCCCAGTCCTGTCCTTTCTCTGCTGCTTCCAGGGGGAGACTGGAAGCATTCCGTGAATACAAGAATGACCGTGTGGTGATGTCTCCAAGCCAAGCCCTGCAGCCCAGGGAGGCTAAACTGCTGTGTGGATTCTAGATGGATTGTTCTCATCCCTGGCTTTGAACTTCTTCTGGAAGAGAGTCTGCCTAGGCCCCTGCAGCTCCCCATCCTTAGGACCTAGACGAATGAATACAGCATCACCCCCTCCTCCAAGTCAGATTAGCCATAGGTATCTAGAAATTCCATTCTGAGCACCTACTGTGTGCTCATGCCTGTCAAGAGAGGTTGCAGAGGGTGAAGAGGGGCCAGATTCCTGGGCTCCTGCCTTCCACCATTTCCCAATCTAGATGGAGAGAGAAGGCTCATAGGCAGGAGAGCCAAAGCAGGTCTCAGGGCGTGTGGCCATGGCCAGGGCTGCAGAATGTGGTTCAGTGGGTGCCAGAGAGAGGAGAGTGATGGTGGCTCCACTGAAGGGAAGCTGAACACAAAGAAGGTTTCCTCCTCCCTTGAGGGGGAGGAGCAAAGGGAAGTGAGGTGCAGGAGGCAATGGTAAGGCCTGCAAAACTACACCATCTGAGCCAAGATCCCCACCACACAGGGCTTCCTGACATCCCTAAAGATGAATCAGCAACAAAATGTAAACCCCAAACACAGAGAGAAAATGAGAAGCAATTGTTCCCAACTCCCTTTTCCATTTGCCGGCCTTCTCTCTCTCTCTCAGTGGATGGAATAATTGTGGCCATGAAGTGGCACTTGAAGAAAAAGTTTTAAATCTGTTTAAATGTCACAGTGAGTAATACTTTGCCCCCATCTTTCCCTAGTTACATTTCTCTTTGATGTTCTAAGGTTAAAAAAAAAAAAAAATTAGCTCAAGTCTTTCTAGAATATCAAGGGCAAAGATACCAGAGAGCCAACCTAGCCACATTCCTTACTATTTTCTTTGGGGTCCTGCTCCTTTATTACATTAGTTCGAGACACCTGTCGGTGTTATTTTATCCCCAGTACTCTGCGGTGGCAAAACAGTGGGAGCCTAAGAGATCCAGCTCTGTGCCTTTAAGAGATCTATGCCTTGGCAGAAGCTGTTTCTGCTGCTGTTAATACAAGGTAGCTCAGTTATATGGGGCCTGGTGTCCTGGTGGCTTCTGTCCCAGCAGTGTGGGGAGAGGTAGGGCATTTTACCACATAGGTGCCAGAGAGCTGAGAGGTGAGGAATGTGTTACCCCCTAAGGGGAGACAGTCCAAATCCAAAATAAGCCATCCTCAGGTGGGGAGACAGGGGAGCGTGAGGTACCTTCCCTAGGGAAGACGGAGCTTTCCACAGCTTTGGGTCCACATGTGGAGAGAGACAGGGAGAGGGGGCTGTGGTGCAGGGGGCACAGATGCAGTCCTGGAGGGAGTTGATGCTATACCTTATGGCAGTATTTTTGCAGGTATCTGAAATAACCAGATGCCCCCTTCCATTAACAACTCCACTCTCCCACTCACTCCTGCCCAGGGACTGCTTTTATTTATGTATTGGCTATTATTATTAATAATAAGATGAATAATGAAACACCTGTGAATAATTTACTTGGACCTGGGCAGGGCTGGGGTGGGGGCAGGAAGAAGTGGAAGATAAACCACAGCTGCCCTCCCCTGTGCTGGCGCCTTCTTTCCCAGCCCCCACCCCCACCCCAGCTCACTTCCTTCTCTTCCCCCAGACCTAGCTTTGCTTTAAGGAGGTGGCAGGGAGAGAGAGAGAGAGAGAGAGAGAGAGAGAGAGAGAGAGAGAGAGACCTCAAGCAGGAATTACTCTCCTAAACTCCCCTGTTATGGCATAAAATACATCCCACTCCATTGTGATATCCTGGGAGGTAAGCACCACAAAATGATGTTAGAGGAGATATTTCGGACAAAGATACTGGCCTCTGCTGATGTGTCCTGAGGGGAAGGGGAGGAGGGGAGTCTCAGACTGGTGCGCGCACGCACACACACAGCCAGAATGTGGATACAAACGGTCTATGTGCACAGCCACACTGCACCCACACAAGCACTTACACACAGTCCTGATAAGACACAGGCACACATCTCCAAGCCACCAGCTCAAACCCTCTGTGTGCCTACTGGGGACATGCCACCTTATGACAGCACTTCATAGGCACACCACGCACACAGCTACCTTGCAGAGAGGCCCTATGTGTGAGTTTCTGTTCGATTCCATCAACTCTGGCGATTCTTAGGCCGTCATATAACACTGGATAATGTAAGCCCAGAACCGAGTTATGAATCAACTATACTTACACACGATTCCATCAAGAAAAGACAGAAGAATCTTAAAATGAAAGGATGAAGTTCCACAGCTCTCAGAATTGTACTTGCTGTTTGGTCACTCGCCCTGGATCCTCAGGGAGAGGTGTCCCAGGTGGGCTTGGGGCCTGGGGCTGCGAACCTCGGGGCCTCCTCAGGCCTCCTCCTGGCGCTGGAGAGCTCCGCGTTGTGGTTGTACCAAACGGGCTTGGTTTCGGTATTCAGGCAGCTGGGGTCTCATTTCTTTAAATAAAATTGTAAACATATTGTCTAATAACATCATGTAATCCGAGGGTAAGAAAAGAGAAACCCAGGACACCCGAAGGGGGCCGGTGGGGGTCCAGCCAGAGTCAGGCCGGCAGCTTTGCCCCTGCAACTCGCAGGGGAGCGGGCGCGTTATTTTAATTTGCCCGGCTTCTGAAGCCATGGAGAAGAGGCTGCCCTGGAAAAGCAAATGTGGGAGAGGATGAGGGGCAGGTAAATATCATTAAAATGAAAATCTGCTCTCCCAACCCAAGTTCACCACCAGCATTCGCCCCCAGAGGCGGGGCTGCTTGGACCCGTCTCCCGCGCCGGCCACTCCCTCTCCTGCGCGGCCGAGGCTCTGGCCCCCGCGGGCCTGGTGGGGAACCCGGCAAAGTCGGGCTGGGCGGCCGGACCCTTGGCTCCAGCCCGCAGACGCGACTCCGAGCCTCGCACTTCTGGAGAGGGAGGCGCCGCCAACGAAGCCCGCGGGGGCAGCGCACGCCGCGCGAGTCTGGGTCCGGCCGCAGTCCGGATAGCGATTCGGGGGCTTTATTTCTTTGATGGTGAATTAAGGAAAAAATTTCAATTTGAACCGGTAACGCAGACGAGGGCCAAATCAAGCCGGTCCCTCGCGCTGGCTCAGCGACCCGGCACGGCACCCAAATCCCTGCCTCCTTCCACGGCGGGCGAGCCGGCCGAGACGCCCGGCTCCTACCTTCCTCCCGCCAGCCGCTTGCCGGACCAGCCGCCGCGTTTCCGGGCGGGGGAGGCCGTCCGGGACCGAAACACCCACCTCCAGCCTTCGCAGGCGGGCTGGGACGAGGATCGGGCCCCGGATCTCTACGCCCCGTCCCCCCGCCCCCCCCCCCCAGCGAGGCCCAACTGCTCCCCCAGTTCCGACCTCCCAGGTGGCTCGGGTGGCGGCAGATGCCGTGCGGGAGGGCAAAGATTTGGGGCTGCTCTGGCAGGTTGGGGATTCGAGGAGGAAAAAAGCAGGGAGACACGGAGAGAAAGAGAGCGCGCGCGAGAGAGCTCTTGTCTACAGATTTATCCACATAATATATATTTATGTAGCTTTTTTTCTCTCGACACTGATCAATGCGCACTCGGATCGCTGGGCGGACTCCCTCCAAGCCGACTCGCTTTTTCTAGTCTAAATAAATAAATAAATAAATAAATAAATAAAGGGAACCAGATGGGAGAAAAAAGCGCCCATTCCACCTCCGCCACCGCCTTCGCCGCCGCCCCGCCCGCCATCCCTGCCTTTGCTTCGCCCGCCTGGCGCCCTAATAGAGCGCAGCTCGGTGGATAACGCCCCCCTACATACCCACACGAAAATGAAAATCAATGTTTTAAAAATACAAAAAGTTGCACCTGCTGCTATTACAAAAAGAACCCCCAAAAGGCAAAGAGGAGGCCAGCAGCCCCGTTCCTAACGGGCACCCGCTCCCCGCGGCCGCCGGGCCCGGAATCTCAGCGCCTCCCGAAGAGCCATGCGCCTGGCGCTATTTATAGCCGGGGGCTGTCTCGGACTGTACCACCGCCGCTCGCCGGGGCCGCCGACGGGGGAGGCGCGGCGGGGCCGGCGCCGCCCCACGCCGTCCTGCTCCCGGC